AGTTGTTATTCAAAATCTTCAAATTTCAGTTTTATTTTTTATGTTAATATTTTGTATGTCTTTTAATTTTTTAGTAATCACAAAATAATAAAGCGTAATGAACAACTTCTAACTGCACTCTTACAACGCAGAAATATGGTCTCAGCTGTGGGAGTTAATGGGATTCTACAGGCAGCGATGTGCTGAATGACTGAGTGCAATATATCCCCCTCTCTCCGTGCATTTGCATGGCGCGCGGATCCATCTTCGTGTCAGCTCGGAGGTTACTCAGGGTTCACGCGCTTGCTTGTTTCTCTCCTCCGCACTCAATAAATAAATCTCTGCAGCTTTCTGTTTACCGCCTGAATATAAATTTGTTTGCAGTCGATCGAAGACCTGTGCGGAGGTATTAGAAATTGTATTTCTGTAATGGCTTTCAGCAGGGGGAGGAGGGGGTGGGAAGAGGCTACAGGGAGGGGGATAAAAAACAAGTGCTAGTAAGCTCTTTTTTTAATTCTAAAAAATGGCAAAGACCTCATTCTGTTATACCTTCTTTATGCCGCGGATTACATTTAAAATAACATGGTTATATTATGGCACAATAATGACAATCTATTTACATTCTTGTCATAGATTTGATTTGCAAATTTGAGGTTCTGTTTTACATAATAAACACATTTAGTGCTATAAACATCTGCATCTGATATTTCACAACCAACTGCACCCCTTTGACCCACCAAAGCAAGTTTTTCCATCAGAACACAGTATTTTCTTTATTTTCCATTATAAATCTTTTATAAACAATATTTTTCACAAGAAACATATTTTCGATAACAACAATAGAATTCAGCTCCTGATTCTTAAGGTAAACAAATGGTACTCCTACATTTTTTTATTCTAAATGGTGGCGCTAGGGGTGTATAAACTTTGAATGGTCCGCCCCAACATAAGACTTTTTTGTATAAAGTAATGATCTCTTATTTTTTGAAGACCTGTGAAGACCTAATTTTGGCATAAAGGTGCACCTATCAATTTAGATTTAAAATTAAACAAATATGCCAGAAATTGGGTGCTCTGATGTCTTTAACATAGTATAAATTTAAAATCAAGTTTTTATGATTTTAGACTATTATGGTCTTTCAAGTGTTTGATCCATTACATACTGGTGTAAGGATCAGAAATGTGTGACAGACTTTAAAAGAATGACATCAGGAAGAGGAATAAAAGTAGTAAATTGATATAAAATAAAGATAATATGAATGCAAATAAAGAAATTAATTAACCTACCTCCTCGAAAATCCATCATGGAAAAATAACATGCATAAAATAATATCAATCAATCAAAAATATATTAGTGCTAAATACCCCCAAACCCCCACTGCTGACTGCAGGTGAGGTAAACATGGGAGATCCTGGTGGCTTTGTCAGGATGCTGGAGGAGGGAGAGGGTATTGACTGACACTAATTTGTTTTGTGTCCACGGTCCACAGTGTGTCAATAGGGAGTCAAGGTCCTGGGATCAGCTCTAACATGCTCGGATTACCTTCTCAGTTTGGCCTGAACCCTGCTGACATTTTGATGCTGTGGCCGCTGTTGACACAGACCTCTGCAATAATGTTGATCCTCATCATGTGTCAGGTCTCGACCCTTACAAAGGCAGGTAGTGCGGTTAAAACAAGTGGTAGAAAAGAGCCATCAGTGCCTGGGTTTATAGGGTTCTTATGTTGTTATAGAGCTGTAACACCTTGCAGGGACAAATAGACAGTGCAGCTAAAAACAGTGAAAAAGGAGACAAAGGGACAGAAGTGAACCACACTGGCCGTTTTAAAGATGGCTGCATGATTGATAGGGCATGTCTGCTTTCTTCAAGTATTGACATTTTTGAGAAATTGTGATGTCAAATGAAAGGTTCAGCTTTGCCCACACAGAATCTTGGGAATACCACTCCAAACCAAAGGAAATTAATCCACGCACTGCAGGAAATTCTAATAATTGTCTTTGCTCCATTGTTGAATGATATGAAAGCTGTCACAGTACATGCAGCGTCATCGTAAATCCAATACAACGACTCTGCAAATGGTGAGAGACATCACAGACAAAGGCGTTGTGCACACAAGGCTCAGCAGCGTGAAGATGAAGCAATGCCTTGATAATTCCAGGGCCTTTCCATATCAGCCTGCTGTGTATATGTGCAGCAGTTCTATGCAGCTCCAGCGAGTCAAGAGGTTCAGAGTCGGCACAATCCCAAACATCATGACAACAAGTCATCAGTCATCTTCCCTCTGAGCTGCTGTGCACACTTGTGTGTTTCCGGCGTTCTTACTGTGGGAAATGAGCAGGGTTAAACATGAAACAGGAGGAAATGCTCATCACTGCAGCTCACTGTGCAATATTCTCCTTCAAAGCAGTGTTAGCTGCAGGGAAAGAGGAGTTGTTTATAGTATTATTCTTCTTGCTTAAACATCCCCTGCTTGTTCACCATGCAGATCAGCTGTCTGCTGCAATTACTAATCAGTTTTAATGGCAAAAGGACTAATGGAGAAATTACACCAGATTAACAGATTACTAATTAAAGAGTGTTGAGAGAATCTTCAAAAATAAAATGTATACAACAAAGAAGTCTTAGTTTGATATCTTTAGGATTTTCTTGGCTAAATTCCATTTATATAAAACAACAAAATCATCTGTGTCAGCTTTTTCCTGCTTGGCAGCAAAGCTCCATGATGTTTATAAGCTCAATATTTAAACCCCACACATATTGGTTAAGAGCTCTGCAGTTACAACAGAAGGATTTTTGTGCACCATTTAATCCAACAGTGAGTCTTACATTTTGAGTCACTGGAAACCAAAGTAGAATTAATGTTATACAGCACAGCATGAATTTAATAAACCAGAACTCAGTAAAACGACTGTTTTAACACCAGTTGTGTTTATTATAGGGAGCATAAAGAAAGAGCTGTTTTTATGCAGTGTATCATGTTTAAATTTGTTTGCAATTAGCTTTGCTTCCCCCCCATGTGTCCATTGTCCAAAACAACCCCATGCTGCATATTAATGATAACAACAATATCTGCAAAACTCATAAAATGTTTATTTCCTAAAACACTTGTTTTTCTTTATCTCTGTTCAATTTGTAGAATAGTTTAACACTCTAAGTCTCTGCGGTGCAGCTCGCTGGACTTGTGCTTTTGATGAAGGCAATAAAACATTTATTGGACTGTAAAGCAGAATTATTACACCTTAAAAGGTGATAATTTCACAGTTTACATTTTGAATAATCCACTTGTATGAACAAATGTATACTAAACTGCTAGTTTATTAGGTACAATGGGGAAAACTAATCTAATTTAAATGTAACAGTACAATAAATCCTGCCTTATAAAGATGCAGTTATGTTGAAACTATTTCAGAGAAACGTTAAATCAAGTGTCTGATTCTTACTTTAAATGTTGTGAATTGTGCAGCAATTAAATATGTTCAGTTTATATTTTTTGCTATGAAAAATGATTCAAATGTTTTAAATAATAAGTAAAGTCCTGAACATTAGGAAGGAGAATTACTTTATTAGATCTAGGTTATGCAATTTCAACTCCCTGGTGTAATACCACTCT